GATGCGACTCTCCCAGCAGGAAACCTTACAGCAGCCCCACAGGGAGCACAGCAATCCTAGTGCTCCCGTCTCTGTGCTCTACCAGGCTCCCCTCCGCAGTAAACCATCTTACACCGTAAATATTTTAAAAGCCCAGCAGGGCTGCTGAGCATGTTTGGCTGTTGTTATGGATCTAGCCCCAGCAGGAGAGGTCTAATAATAGTCACTGTACCCTGGAATGAAAGGGCAAGGGGCGCTGCACAACACAGAGAGCTCGGAGGCAATCATACCACTTCATGCCCTGGTCCCTACAGGCTGGCAATGAAGGGATGTGATGCATGAGCTGAGGAATGGCTCACTTTGAAACTTTGAAATTTCATCCTAGAAACACAGCAAGGTTTTGTTTGGCTTTGTGGCTTTATGACTCCAGAAGTTTGGGGGCCAAAAGAGAGCATTAGATCCTCCGGTGTGACACCAAGCAGGCAGGAGAGCATGTCCCTGACCGGGCTGTGGGACCGGGGAGCCATCTCCTGCAGCTGTTGGTCCCAGCGGTCACTGACAACAGACTGGTGTGGAGCCACAGCGAGGCAGCAGCACCCTGGGATGTCAGTGTGCTGGGGCTCCTGTCCCCAGGGACATCGGGGTCCCCATCCCTGCCCTCAGGGGCTTCAGAGGTGGCCGAGGTGCAGGGCTCCCCTCCTTGAGTGCCCCAGGGGACAGCCCTGCAGGCTGAGCAACTGCTCCTGCTTGTCCCCAAGGAACAGGGAGGTCTGAAAGGAAAGCAGGGTGGAAGCAGGCGATGATTTGGGCTTAGTTAAGCAGGGAAATCTATTGCTGTGTTTAACCTATGAACCTCCTTCCTTACAGCAGCCCGGGAGCGCTGTGCTTGCTGCCCTAAGGGGCAAGGATGTCTGTGCAGGGGGATGAGCCACCTCATGCCCAAAAGTGCCACAGCTGCCGTGCAGTGGGGAACAGGACCCTCTCTGCACTAGAGTCCCATTGCATTGGCTGCGGAGGCCAGTTAGGTGAAGATGAAAATACTGAGGAAGGCAAAAGGTAAGAGAGGCAGAGCAGAGAGGAGGAGCAAAGCAGGCAGCGGAGGCTGGATTCAGCACAGCTTGCTGGTAGCCAGCATCAGTGCAGAGTCCAAAAATAACCCTTCCTAGCCATAAAAAGCTTACAGTTAAACTGAGAAGGGACAGATGCAGTATCATGTGAAGGGCTTCCTTGAAACTGGAGTCGGGGGCTGTGGGTGTGCCTGTAGCATCCATCCGATCCCTCAGCGTTAGACCCTGGCTGCTGGCTCAGGTCGCAGGGCTTGTGTTTGCCCTGCAGGCACTCGGCCCTGGGTTGAGTTTAACATGCCCATGGCGTTTCCAGGTTATTTGTCTGCCACCGTTGTGTTATTTGCAGTAACTGTTTGCTCATAGGCCCAGGAATCTGTGCTGTGGAGAAGCAGGCAAGGGGGAAAATGGGAATTACATGCTGGCTTGTCAGTGGGACTGAGAGGGGCATTGAGGTGACCCAAAAGAAATGGCCCATTTCTTCTACCAAAAGGCAGAAGAGGCATTTAACCCTTTAATTTCTTAGCACCCACCTTCTAAATGGGTACAATTCGGCCCCGGTGTGCATAGGGCTGGTTTGCTGCAGCCCCCAGGGCAAAGCCAGCTGCTCCCTCAGCTGCTGGGTGACTTCCCTGGAAAATGCTGGCGAGCCCAGCTGTGATCCAACAGCAAAACCACTGCGGAAGCCGAGACCACAGCACCAAAGCCAAGACTATTACAGCTTGGATTTTTTTAGTCCTCACAAGATGCTATGGAAAAGTAAGTTCCCAAATGGCAGGTTCGGCAGAGCCAGATAATTTCAGCAGGGCAGGGGAGCAGAGGTGGCTCTGGGGATGCATCTGGTGTCTGTGGCAGCTTGTGAAGGTCTTCCTTACTTGTGGCCTCCTGCCTTGGGACAGGCAGCACTGCATCCCCATCGTGGAGGGACGCAGCCTCCCTCCACGCAGCACAGAAGGCTTTGGAGGGGAGTGCAACAGGTGGCAAGACCCAGCCCCCTGCCAGTGGCCAATTGTCACCATACCACGCATCCCCTGCCCCATCCTGGCAGGCTGGCGTGCTGCACCGAGGGTGCAGGGACCGTTTCTGTCAGCAGCAGCAGCAAGGAGGGAAGGGAGCAGGAAATGACCCTCTGGGGACAAGTTGAATCATCTCCTTGAAGCACCATGGGAGCCCTTGTGCAGTGTATTTGTGTGCTGTGGTCTTATTCCTGCAATGCCTGGCAAGAGCTGGCACATCACTCCCTCCTGCCGGCCCACAGGAGCATGAAAACCTGAAGGTGGGAGCCAGCAGGTGATGAACCCCACTTCACACCCCCTGCCACCGCTAAATGACTGTTCATGGTGATGCAGTTTCAGGTTGAACTATGTGGGCAAGAGGGAAGGTGGTTCCTTTCTTGTTCCTGGCAGATGTTAAAAGATGTTTCCACTGACTAAAACCCCACTGAACTGCTTTGCATCTGCCTGAGAATGTGGAAATACACTTTGAAAAAAAAAATCAGTTTTTTCTATTAAAACTGAGGCAAATGTTCTTGTCACCTCCTCAGTCCAACCGCTTCCCGGAGGCAGGGGCTGGAGTGGCCCTGCCAGCAAGGAGGGATCTGCCTATGAGGCTTCTGAGAGCCACCCACCTTGAAAATCCCAAAGGAACTGCACAAATCTGAAAGCTTTGCTCATAAGTCCACCCCACTCGGCAGGAACGCTCCCAGCTATGGAAAATAAATAAATCACGCACGCCATCTCCTGGCCACCGAGCCGGGACCTGCTTCTGCACATTTGGCTCCTTCCCCTATTTTAAACCAAGATCTCATCCTTTTCCCATGCGATGGGGCACAGCGCTGCTGCAGCTGAGCACCATTACCCTTGGCAGCTACATCAAGGGACACTGGGAAATTGCTGCACCCCAAGTGCTGGCCAGCTTCTGCTCCCCAGTTTGGGGAGTCCACCCTACAAACCAGGTGGTCCAGCCCCCAGTAGAAGGTCAGGACCCTTAGGTGTATCGGCTCTGGCTTGGCCTCACTGGTGTGGAGATGGGCCCAGGCTTGTGTGGACCAGTCTTAGGGAAGCCTCTGAAGTCCGTGTGACACCTCTCCGGCAGTTACAGCAGGTCAGCAGCCTCTGGGCTCCGATGAGCTGCGAGGAGGACTCATCTGGGAATGATGGATGCTCATCCTGTCCTGGGGAAAAGGCACTTTCCTGGCTGAGATCAGCAGCCCATTGCATCCAAGGTGGGCATCTTGTCCTGGGAAGGGCACGCTTGGAAAGGAAGGAGGGAAGATGAGGGAAAACAGCAGCTGGGATCTCTTCCTGGGGCAAAGGATGCAGCTTTTCCAGGGGTGCATTTAACAGAGGCCAGATGGATGCCAAGCCCTGGGAGGAGTCAGGGGTTTGCAGGGATTTGCTGGATTTGGAGGAGAAGGTTCTCCTGGGAGGTCTGGGTGGGCCAAGCCCCACATCCCACCAGTAAGCCCATGCCAGCACTCCCTGAGCTGACATCAACGCCACGAAAGGAGTCCCTGAGGCTCCTGAAACACACTGAGCTTATACAGGTTTGAGGTTACTGCACCCTGCTCAGTCTCAGGAACATGGAGAATTTAACCTTTTATCCAGGCTGTTGTATCTTTGCCAGCATCTTCTTTCTACTCCCATAACATTGGGGATTACAGAGCGAGGAGTGCAATTCCTGCCCAGGATGGTGGTCTGCCAGCAGAGTTTCCTGGTAGGAAGATCAGCATTAAGCAGGATTTGTACAGGAGGCTAAGCAAATTTCTCAGTAGGTTGTTAACAGCAAGATACAAAAACAAGTGAGTGACAAGTTGGATTTTTTTTTTTCATTACACTTGAGCATTTCTGATCGGGACCTCCTTCAAGTACTGACAGCATCAGCAGGGCTAGAGGCTGTGAGCAGAATCACAGATAAGACAATGATTAATCTTTAAATTTCACACAGAAAAACAAACTTAGTGCCAAAATAAGTCAACAGAGGCAGTGTGCGCTCGCTAGCTCTGTACCCAGGAGTTAGGGTATCTGTGATGTGTCCCCAAGCTGCTGAGGGCCCTGGACTCTGCGTGCTGCGCCAATGCTGGCACGTTAAACCCTCAGCTGAAATGAAAACCAACAACTTAAGGACTCATCAGGCTGAAGTAAGAGCTGGCTCATGGGCGATGCACGGTCTCTCTGAGCCTTTCTTCGTGCTATGAGCTTGGCACAGACACAAGCCTGGAGTGAAGGGATCCAAACGTCTCACAGAAAGGCTGCTTCTCATATGTTGAAGTGCTTATCTCAAAGCAGTCCAGCCCCACACTTGTACAGTGACATCAGACAACCAGTGGAGGATAGTACTAATCCAAAGCCCCATACCTTTAAAATACTGCCCTGCTCCCTGAGCTTTCCAGTGGGGACCCATCAGTGCCCTGATCATTTCCCATTACAAATTCAGGTCGGATCAGCACCCCATCCCCACAGGCAACGAGCCAAATTTGACCTCTGTTCAAAGCTCCTGGGGCATTTTGAAGAGGAAGGAGGGCTTTTTCTGCTGCAAAGCAACTGTGCAGCTCCTAAAGGACAAGACCAGAAACTCAAAAGGAGAACCAAATGCCTTGTCTGCCTTGCTTTGCAAAGGGAAGGCAAAACAAGAGCCAGTAAGGCAGCTGGGATGGGTCCTGCCTGCTGCCACCCCACATAGTGGGTCAGCCGTCACAGTGGGTCACCCATCACAGTGGGTCACCTGTCACGGTGGGTCACCCCGCACACTGCCCCACGTGACAGGGCTGATATCTGAGATTTCAGTAGCTGCTCTTAGAGGAACCGGAGCAGAGTTACAGGGACTATTTTTTCATGCTGTAATTTAACTCCCCAGAGTAACCTAACCTGGAGGGAGCCATGACTCAAGGCTTGCCAAGCATCCTTGACCTCACAGCTGTGTTTTCTCCGCAGCGTTTTGGAGCCGTATAGAGATGCAATGGAGGTAGAGTCCACCACATACACTGACTTTATTTCCTGCAATCGAACTGGTCGGAGGAACGCTGTCCACGACATCCAGCGAGATGCAACCACCATCACCATGCGCAAGCTGACCGATGACCTCGGCAACCTCGCTGTCGAAGGAGCAGGTGAGCTGCTGCAGACACCAGTAAGCCCAGCTCCTGGCACCCAGGCTGGATGGGCAAGGCACAAATTGGCAGTGCAGCTGAGGGGCACTGGCTCCAGGAGCATCACACAGATGCCCAGGAGGAACATCCCGTTCCTTGCTGCAGTCAGTGCTTCCAGGCTCAGGGGTTACTGAGCTGGTGGGAGGATCCCCAGGCTGAGGGGCTCTTGCATGGGATGGTCCCAGGGTTCCTGGCACAGAGGAGCACTGCACACTCCAGTCAAGACCCTTTACTCAGCTGGTTTGAAGGCACTAGTGCTTAAATAGGACATAGACTGACCAAGAGCCTTCCCAGGGCAAATGACACATCAGGTATACCTTAGGCTTTATAAAAATCAAGTGTGGGGCAGGTTGTGGTTTGCATTTTCCTTGTTGGATAGTTTTGTGTTTGTTTGGTTTTGGTTTTGTTTTTTTTAAAATCAGCCTTCAAATAGTTCCACGGTATTTTAAATAACAACAGAAACAGTTTTAAACACTACCAGCCATCTCCAAATCTTCCTCTGCAGCCCAAAAATGGCAGCAGTATCACTCTGCTCAGTACATGCCAGCCAGCTGACTACCGGAAGCCTGAATCCTCTATTCAAAGGCCAAGCAAACTGGCCACTCTGCTTTCACTAATAAGCAACAAAATATACAGCACCACTGCAGAGGGTAAACTCAGTTTTCACCCTCGCTCCTTTGCTCCTCCAGCCTACAATCTGTAACTATAAAAACACTTCACATTACCCCAGCTATACCTCTTTCAGTATGTCCATACTAGTATGCATCCATTCAGCCGCCCAGAATAAACACAAATTAGGGCTTGCCTAAGAGAGAGCAATTCAGGGAGCTCCAGGCTTTTGGGCAGACATTCCTGGAGCACTTGCAAGTTTCAGGTTAGACAAAGAGAGCACATCCCTGCCCTGAGGCTCCCTCCCAGCATCACCAGGTGTGTTGAGAAGTCTTTGTACTCCAGGAATTCAAAGGGAGGACCCAATACTCTTAAGTCAGATATCTTAAGCCAATAGGTCTTCAGGTGGCCATCTGAATAAAATCGGCTATAGCAATTGCTGATCGCTTATGTCCTCAGCAGAGCATAACCCGTGTTTTCTTCTCAATCCTCCTTTCTGCAGAAAGCCAAACAGATGCCACGACTTCTGAGAACGACCCTGGAGCAAGACCAAAGGGGCAAGAAAACAGCCCCTCCCCATGACAGCGTACAGGGTGGGATGGGCAGGAGGAGGGCCTTGCTGTGAACATTAAATAAGAATTTGCAATTGAATCTGCAGACAAAAGCCAACCTGGAACAGCAAGTTGTTTGTCAAATGCCTCTGCAGCAACCATTTTTGTTTAGAGAGCCACAAGATGCCATGCAAGGACTGGCACCTCCAAAAGACTTCTACTCACATCCCTTACAATTTAGAGCAACACTGCTATGGGTATAGTGGTATGAGCCATTCTCAAGATGCCTTAGCTGCATTTTTCCTCTAGGGGAAAAAATGATTTCAGTAATAATAGTCACATCAGACTTTCCTGTACAAGGTACTTTCCTCCTTTGCAAATTTAGACTATTATTTATTCTGTTTCCATAGTTTAGAAATTTAGATTATTGTTTTTTCTAAGCCTCACTCTCATCTGCATCTTAGACCTGACCTGGCCTCTGGACTGTCCATGCAGGCCCTCCTCAGGGTGGGCAGTGGGGAGGGGACCTGGCCAGTCCTGCTGCCTTCATGTTGAACCCCACTTACCTGTGCTGCTGCTGCTTAGCATCAGGAAAGGACCAAAGCACAGCCCTGTGTGGACAAGCTCCATCTACAGAGCCAGCAGCACCAGCCACAGGCATCCTTTTCTTTGGGTTTTAGCATTTTAAGATATTGTTAAGGGGAGGGGAGAAACATTTTGCTGGTTTGACTGTTTAAATTTAGGCTTAACTTTGCAAGCTGTTAGCTGAGATGATCTCTGGTAGGATCTCACACCATTCTCTCTTTTAGGAGATATGTTTTGTGTTAAAGATGGTTTGATAAAACTATATAAGATATTGGAATAAATTACACAGCCTTCAAGTACTGAAGGTATTTTTTTCTGCCTGGACACTTCTTCCTCCATTTTGCCCTGTAGGGGGTTGAGCTGCAGGACGGTTACACCAGGTTCCCCTCACAGGGCAATACGAGGTTGTGCTACAAGAGAGTCCCTTCCCTCTTGGTCTGTGAAACCCCAGGGGTTTGCAGCACCCAGGTGGAAGCAGATGTAGTCAGGCACAGAAAATGCCAGAAGTCTGCTGTGACTGTCCCAGGTTTGCTTTGCCCTCGGATGCTTCACCCACGTTGTTCCCCTCTGCGTTACCACCCCAGAAGCCAAGCACAAGGCTGGCTGGGGACTTGGTGGAGCAGCCCCAACACCAGCAAAGAGATGCTGGTGGCATCCCACCAGGCATTTTCCCTTGCAGCACAGAGCTACGTGGACATCACTGATGTTTCACCCAGCCCAGGCACAGCCCATCCTGCCACAGCTATGGGAGACAGCTACAGCCCAGCCGGGATCGACAGCCAGGGCAGGGGGAAGGCCGAGCTGGCCTGAGAAATACTCTCCACTGGTGACACAGGGCAAGCATCGCCTTGGGAAGGACTGAATGTTACTGTTTTGAGATTTATCACAGGAAACAAGGCCATAAATAAGCAGAGAAGCAGCTGCCAGGCAGAGGAATTGTCTGTGGGCCCCTGAGGAGCAATGGCTGTGGGGCCGACACAGAGATGTCCACGGCTCCGGACCCCACAGGAAACAAGGATTTGGCAGCCAGGTAGCATCTGCATCTGCTGCTTTGGCAGCTGCAAACCAGCTCAGCCCCGGAGCTGCCTGGATACTATTGCAGCTCTGAGCCTGGGCAGCAGCCAAGAGCCTGCTCCCATTTCCCTGTGCTCGGGGGCAAAACAGCAGGTAGCTGCTGGGCTTGGCCGGCCACACAGTTGGGTCTTTAAGCCCCATTTCCAGCTCTCCTCGCTGCCACTGAACAATATTTTTGGCTCATGCTGACAGACACAGAGCAAGCTGAAAGGCAAGGCAGAGGGACTGTGCACCACGCAAGGCCTCCAGCAGTCAAACAAGGGCTAATCTTAGGTCTCCCTGGTCAGAAAATACCTCTTACAGAATTATATTTAGGCAGGTGATTAGGGACCCGTTGGCCAGCTACCCTCAGAGGACAGGTGAGAAGCAACAGATTCCCCCTAAAAGTGAAAAAGCCAGCTCAGCTGCTGGCACCATTGTGCTGAAAGACCAAGGGCGCTGGCTTAATCCAGCCACATCCTGACTTGCAAAGTTGCTGAGCACATGGATGCTCTGAGCCCTTCATTTCAGTTCAATATAGGGGCACACCGGACCTCCTGAAACTCAAACCAAGCACTAAACGATTGGGAAGTCTTTCAGCAAACACTGCCCGGGCTGACAGTGCGGTCCAACAGCCCAGCAGCCCAGGCTGCACCACTGCTGGCTCTTAGCATCCACCAATGGTGCAAAACTCAGGAGACAAGGGAAAAAAAATACCATAAACTATTTTTTATATGTGTTGGAAAAAGTGTGAGTACACCGTGATGGCACTGCTAGGGATTAGATATGCATTCCTTTTATTACTGAAGGGAAAACGTTTTCCTCCCCCTCTACTCTGCCCTGGTGAGACCACATCTGGAATATTGTGTCCAGTTCTGGGCCCCTCAGTTCAGGAAGGACAGGGAACTGCTGGAGAGAGTCCAGCAGAGCCACAAAGATGATCAAGGGAGTGGAGCATCTCCCTGATGAGGAGCGGCTGAGGGAGTTGGGGCTCTTTAGTTTGCAGAAGAGGAGACTGAGGGGTGACCTCATTAATGTTTATAAATTTGTAAAGGGCGAGTGTCACGAGGAAGGAGCCAGGCTCTTCTCTGTGATGTCCAATGATAAGACAGAGGACAAGGGGCAATGGGAGCAAGCCGGAACATAGCAGGTTCCATGTGAACATAAGGAAAAACTGTTTTACTGTAAGGGTGACAGAGCACTGGACCAGGCTGCCCAGAGAGGTTGTGGAGTCTCCTTCTCTGGAGACATTCAAACCTGTCTGGATGCGTTCCTGTGTGACCTGGTCTGGGTGATCCTGCTCTGGCAGGGGGGTTGGACTGGATGATCTTTTGAGGTCCCTTCCAACTCTTGACATTCTGTGATTCTGTGAAGGACACGAGGTTGGAACAACCTGCATCCATAAATCCAACTTGTCCCTCCAACAAAGAGGCAGGGGTGCCTTCCAGCTGGCTGGCAAAGTGCTCCAACCTGGCAGCAGGAGAAGGCACGAATGGGGCTGCCAAAGCCCCCATCACACCTACCCGTTAACCCCAGTGCTCTACAGGGGTACGATGGCTTACACTGCAGACCATGGACCATGGCTCCTAACAGTCTCCCTTGAACAGAAAGGCAAGAGGATTTCTCATTTAATATAAATTTGTTATTTTATTAAACAGGACTAACAATCAGCTGTCCAGAATCCAAACAAGCAATTGTTCTTCAGAAAAACATTTTTTTCAGAAAAATTACCCAAAAAATGCCTGATTCTTACTTGCAATCATGTTCTTAAAAGTGATGCTTTGTCATTTGCTTTATAAAAGTAAGAAATTCACTCTCTCATATCCATCTAGCTAGCTATATATAGGTGTATACATGCACCTTGTACTGCAGAGATAAGATTTTTACTCAGAAGACAAATATGAAAGCCCAGAAAGAATGGAAATACTCCCAGCATGTGGTCACTGGCTGAGACCGGACTTGTCTCACACTACCCATGGTAATGGTGACCATGGCCCCTTGTCAAAGGCAACTTTTTGGTACAGTATCTTTGGAATAAGCATCGTGGCAGACACCTGGGATGCTAAAGCACACCACACACTCACGTAAGAAAATTACGGTCTCTTCTCTGGATGCATGGCTCTATTGCGTATTAAGTAAAAACACAATAATGCACCAAAATTGCTTAGGAATTTTGGTGAGTATTTCTGTATAAATTCTCCACCAAACTGAAGATTTGACTTCTAGCCAGTGTTGTGGTTGAGTGTGAGAAGCAATTCAGATGGGACCTGAGTCAATCTGTGACACTGGGCCCTAGCATATTAGTTTACTTACTCAATTATAGGAGTGCCTAAAGATTATGTCAAGCCAGGAAAAGGGCAGAATGGTTAAAACAGGCAATCAATCATGGTTTTTCCAAGTCCTAATCAAAAATAGAGAAAAAGCAAATTGCAGTTCACAGGAATTCTCCAGGATGGGTACAAAACTGGGAAAAGTCCCAGAAGGCAGATTTTGGCCCCAAAATGGTAAAAATATCTCCCAACTTCCTATGCATGTGTGAGCATCGTCATGGCCAGCTGTGAGCACAGCTGGAGCCTGAGCCCAAGGTGTGCACCTCTGTGGCAGTGACGGGAGGCCCAATGCACAGGAGCCCTTATCCAAGAAAGGATGCCAGAAAAATAGTGGGTTTTTTTTTTTAAATGCCCTTCAGACCTGTGCACGGGCAAGAGCACCAGCTTCCAGCCTGTTCTTGTTCCAGTCTTGTTAGTACAAGACTAACCCTGGGTAAATATAGCTGTGGCCAAACCCTCCTGCCCACACAGATGGGAATAAAGCCTCTGTTGGTACGGTGCCTGCTGACTCCATCAGCATCAACACACTTTGTTACTAGAAAGGCAAAGATTAACCCAGGCCACAGCCGCCATTCATGGTGGTTATTTCTGCACCACAGACGCGGGCTGGGCAGGTCAGCAGGGCAGGACAGATAAAGCAGGGAAAGGCAGGGGGAAAGCAAGGGAGGTTTTTCTGTTTTTGTTTGAGTACAGAAAGCCTGGCAGATGGAGAGGGGAGTCAGGCCAGGAGGCAGTATCAGTCTGCTTGCACAACAGCATGATAGGAAGCTGGACGTCCATTTGGGAGACAGTTCCTGGGGGTGATAGGGAGGTGTATGTGATAGTCTGATTCTGTTTAGCACTGTAAGGGTTAACATGGAGTGCCAGTAATAGAGACCGACTCCAGGCACCTTCTCCCAGTGCTCCCACTAGCACAGAGGAGAGTGAAGCACGAATGAAGAAGGGCCACCGCTCCACGCTGGCTCTCAGCGAAGGGTCACGATGCATTGGGGACCATCCCATAGGCTTCATACAGCGTGTTCAGCAGCTCCTGCTTTTCCTTCTCAGGTAAGAAGCTGGACTGAGCTGCATTGATGTTCTGGGGAGGCAGAGGGGGAATACAAGGGAGATATTAAGACTCACCAGATGTGAACATGTGGTTGTGCACATCCAAACAGCAGCAGCAGGCAAGGGAGAGTGTAAAGTTTCCACTCTGAGATTCATTTCCCTGGCCTAAATTTACCGGGCAATGCTCTGGCCCATCACTAGCAACAGTTCCAAGAAGGATGAGGCAGACACAAAGCAAAGGTCTTTAAATACTTTGGAGTTTTTAGTGTATGTAGCTTAGACCTGTCCCTACACTTCTGGCTCCCCTTTGAACACTAGCATAGCAGTGGTGGCTGCTAGGAGACAGCCTGGCTCTGCAACAGAGCCTGCTCATCTCTCTGGTCCAGGGACCTTTCTTTTATCACACAGGAATAACCTGGCTTTTGCAAGAGCAGGAGAGCAAAGCTGGCAGCAGAACAGCTCCAGGATCCCAGAGCTGTCCTTATTCCCCCTTCTCGCCTCAGAGATTGATGTCTGTAGGAGAAAGGAACTTGTTCCTCCAGCCAGAGCTCAGAGCAGGGCTGATGCTCTCTCACACAGTGCATCCTGCAATTCCCAATCCCAGCAAGTCCCTTGAGAGACACGGAGGTGTCTGCTGGGCATGACTTGGTGCAAAGCAGGAAAGCTTCCCTGGCAACCAGGTAAGTCAGACTCCCAGCAGTTAACCCGTCTTTCTGTCTTGGGTGAGTAATTAGAAAACCAAGGATGTAAATCAAGACACATAAATGAAGTGACTGTGTGTGCCAAAACTGAAGCCTGCAGTCACTATGTTTCCAGCTCACACTCACATTACACATGCAAAAACTGCAAGCACTTTTGTAGCTGCTGAATTTTGCTAATTTATGGGCCAGGCCTTAAAATAACCTACCTGCAATTTCAAATCCAGAAAAAAAAACCCCAACAGGCACTCTTCTTCCTACTGCTAAGAGTTGTTGTGAAGATATCAGTGGGCAATTTTGACTCTGCCCTGATCCCCATAAAGCCCCAAGCAGTCAGCACAAACTGATGCAGCCCTGCAGAGCCACCCCTGCACAAAGCAGCACTTGGATCCCCCTGCTCCACACAGCACTCCCAGTAACCCCTCCAGTGTCCCCCAGTATAGGATTTTCTGATTTCCATTGAAAACTCCAGCTTATCAAAAAAGCAGTGGGTTGTTTTGGGCTGCAAACATCAGAAGAGCATCCAGCTGAGGCACTCACCACTCTCTTGAACTCCTCCTCGGTGAAGCCCATGTAGTCCTTCACTATGCTGTAATCCTTGTCAATATTGGAGTTAAAGATGAGGGGGTCATCTGTGTTTATAGAATAGTTAGCTCGATCCTTCTTAAATCTGTAAGGAAATCGGGTTGAACCAGTGGGTAAGACACTGGCTGCAGCACTGGTCAGGCACTTCTTGGGGTTAAACGCAGCAAAAGCAAAGCCCTTGGGGCTGGCCCTGCAGCTTTCATTGCTGGACACAAGCACAGGGCTTGGTTTGTCTCACTGCTGCTCTGATCTGCAGGGGTAGGAGGGACAGGACAGCCTCCCCAAGGGATCCCCACACCCCCTCCAGCTGCACTGAACCCCTCTGCACCGAGGGGTGCAAGGATGTACCACCTTCTCCTAAGTGGTTACATGTGCGTTACCTTTGTAAAGCAAAAACGCAGCTGTAGTCAACCCAAATCCTGGGTATTTAAGATTGCATATAATTGAGAAGTCTTACTGTGTTACTGGGTGTTTCCCAAAGTCCGGAAGACATGCTCCGGTGAGATAACTGGACCAAGGGCAGACCTGTTTGGGGGAGTTAAACATAAAACCCAGAATCAGCCATGCAGATCTGAACTCCAGCTGTGTACACAGATAGCCAAGCACACTAGTAATGCCAGATACAGGTTCAGAGCTTCGTTCACAGCTGTCCCTCAGTGCCACTCCAATGGAGCACATCCCAGGACATGGATGCAGAGAGCTTATAGCCAGTGTGACAGCAGCAGGAGCCAGTGGGATCTCCCATGGCCAGTAAGTCACCCATTGTGTGTCAACCACAGCGAAGAAGGCACTGACATTAATTATATACATATATATTCTGTGTATTAGTTGGATACACCCATTCTGGCGAAAAGCCAAGGAAATTTGCTCATGCACAGTAGCTCTGAGGCACTTCCACCCTCCACCCAGACAGGTTCTGGTACCACAGCCTGCTTTGTGGGAGGAGAAGCCTCCATGCTTAAGGTATATAAATTAGCGAATAAGCCCCAAAAATTTATCCTCAGCCACACCAGGATCCATTTCTCTCCACCACACACCTCCCACGAGCCGCTGTGTGCCCCGCTGCTCCTCGCAGCAAAGACCCCGGCAAACAGCCAGGTGACCCCACCATTTTGCTGTGGAGCTTTGGGCACCCAGGTTCAATGGTAACATTTCCAAATGTGTGGTCAGCACCCAGGTATCAGGTCACGTCCCTGGCTGCAGCACAGCCCAAGCAAGGGCTGATTTTGCACTTGGACAGCAGCTACCTGGCTGTCATCCTCTCACCACTCATCCTTACCTCAAAATGCATCTTGGCTCTCAACAGCTCCTTGTAGAGCTCAGGGTCCTCCAGGACATGGTAGCCATGACCAATCCGCTCGGCCTTCAGGAGATAAACTGCCTAGAGAACAAGGGAAAACCATATACAGCCTCCAAGCAGCAGCTCAGCTCCTGTCTGCCCAGAGACCCCTCCCCTGCTCTGCCCTGGGATGCCTGGGTCTCTCGCACTCCCTACCCTGAACCAGGAGCTCCTCATACCTCCTTGATCATGGCAGGTGGGCCGGCCTCCCCAGCATGGACGGTGCGATGAATTCCACATCTCTCAGCTTCCTGCAAAGCAAGGGAGGACACGCTCCTGTCCCGTTACCCGCAGCAAGGCCAGCAAACTCCCAGGCTGGTGCCACTCTCAGAGGCACAGCAAGGAACAGGGCTCTGTGCAAAGAGCCCCCAAATCACAAGCCCTGCACCCTGAGAGGCACACGCTCTCTGCATAGCACAGGCTGTGAGAAAATATGGTAATGCCATCAGCAGAGAAACTTCAAAAGCCTGGGTACCCTTCCCTGGAGCTCAGCCAGGCTCCTCAGGGTCTTCTAACACCAGATGAGCTCCCCGCTGCCTTCTCTCTGAACAGCAGCAAGCTCCAAGCTCTCCTTCCTTCACTCCCTTGCCCTGCTGCAGGAACCTCGCAGCAGCTCCTGTCTTGGAAACTTCTACCTTTTTGGCTGGCTGCAGCCAAGTGGGAGAATTTAAAAGCCTCCAGGGCAGAGATGAAGGATGCTCAGACACCAAGGGCCTCCTGTAAGGGGCTGGGCTGGAGGCAGCACAGCAGGGAAGACCTTGCAGTTGCGGCTTTGAGGGCATTTTGAGATGCTCTCCATGGCCATCCTGAAAACCTCGTGCCAGGGTGAGCACTCTAGGCTTTGGACAGCTGCACAGCCTGGAGGGAAGCCCAGCCCCTGCCTTGCTGGAGAAGGGCCACCCAGACTGCAGCAGCAGACAGGCTGCAAGCCCCATCTCGCAGCAGACACTCTTCTAGGCACTCCTTCAGGGCTTTTTTTATTCATGGGATTACTTAATACTTAATATTATGTATTAATTAATACTTAATTTTCAGCTCCTCGTGTGCTGCACACCCAGGCCCTGCCTGGGACATCTACAGAAGAGCCCTGTGTGCATTCACCTGAAAGACACTCTATTGCTTCCTACATTTATGTGAGCGTTGATTTTTCCATAACAGCTACATATTTTTTTTTTTTTTACACTTTTAAAAATAACAAAATCCCTCTGCCAAACTCCCATCAGCAAAGGTGAACAAGGTGCAAAGCTTTCCCTTTGAGAAGCTGCAAAGCACCAGAGGAATGTCCAATCAGACTCCTGATGCCATTCCAGCGTTTGCATTTGAGATGACCAGATAAAAGCACTTCAAATTAAGTTTGAGCAGAGCTGCTTCTCTGCTCCTCTGTGATTTCTGCCAGACTGGAAAGGCCAGTCTCTCCCACCCTTGGCTGTGGTTTTGCTGAGCCCCAGGAGCAGACCCCAGCCCACAGCAGCGGGGTTCAGCCAGGGTGACATGGGCTCCTCATCACTCATGTTGCAGGGCAACATGCTGCGCTCCAGCCCTAAGACCACGTTTAAGCAATGATGTCTGCCATTAATCATTTAGCAAATATAAACAAATACTTTTGCCATTTAACAGAATGTTTCCAATAGCCGCAACAAACTTTCAAGCTGTCCCAGCTGTCTGCAGCCTGAAAAAACATTCTCTGTGTTCCCTCAATATACATTTTTCTCATAATTTCTTTTAAGAAGGTTATTGAACAAACCTCGTAAGCCTTCTTATGCTCGGAGGAATTCTCTACCTTCAGGGTCTCATCCCCAGCCAGGTCAATGGCCACCACAGAGTTGTTTCGATACTTCTTGCAGAGCTCCACCACCTCTGGAGACCAGCCTGGAAGAGACAGCGCCAGGGTTCAGATTAGAGTCATACTCTCAGCACTGTTCTAAACAAATTCTGGTCTTATGACTAGAGCTATTTTCTTTAGTCTTTCCTAAAATTTGATGCTCAAAAGGAAAGCTAACAAACTCCCAGAAATATCTGCCATCTTCAGGCAAATAAAAGCTGCTGACTGCTTAGTCCATTGCCAATAAAAGGGAAATCAAATGCATCTGCAAGCCATAAAGCTGCTCTCATCATGTTTTTCTGCTCATTTTTGGTACGAGAAAAAAACAAAATACACAAAAACCTGCTCCAAACACAGTGGTGACTGCTGCAGTTGGCCCAAGGCCAGCTGAACTGCACAGCCCAGGTGCTGTAATAGGGTGTGTGGGAGAAAACCCTCAACTCGCTCCTGAGCTCTCACCCTGTCCCAGGCTGGGCAAGAGGGAAAGGGAAGAACCGTCCCATGGGATGCATTGTGTCACAGAGGAGTTTGGGCTGGGAGGGATCTCTGGGGCACCCCTGTATGACGGTCACCCCTGCCCTGCTGCAGAGCATCCTCGACTGCCACAGACAAGATGATGGATGCTACTCCAGGGGGAAGGAACTGGTCCTGAAAGGCGACCTTTAACACTGGCCAAGTTTTATCTTTTTGGCATCAGTGAGAGAGTAACAAGCAACTAACAACTACTTCAGCATTATCTCTCATCAGGATAGATAACCTGTGAGAAAGGACAGGCTCTCCTAGCTCACACAGCACTTACCCTTAGCAAAAAGGCCAAGAGAGATAAAGTGTAGTGTTAATAATTAACAGGCACCAGTTGTGCAGGTACAATCCCCAAAACATACAAACACATGAGAAAATGCATGTAATTTCCTATTTTTTTCCATCAGTTTCCAGCTCACCAGATTAGAGCCACTGTTTTATTAACAAGTTTAATATGAGCTGCTTCTGACTGGCATCTCTGCCTTTCTATCAACGCTTCATTAATAACAGGGTGGCTGCTCACTGTGCAGAACATCCCAAATGTGACGCTAAAGACTTAAATCCAGCACATCACTGGCCCTGGGTAAGAGTTGGTGCCCAGGGACAGAGACATGGGAACCCAACTTGGCTGTTTGCAGGAGCAATCCCTCCTGCTCCCACCACCTCCTGACTTCATCACTTGTGTGCTGGCAGGGACTGCAGCTGCAGACAAGTCGGACACTGCCTTACAGATTTCAACTTTCTACAAAGAAAAGTTTTCTTCCTAGAAACCAGAAAATTAAGGGTCAAGTTTTCCAAGTATTGTTTGGGGTTGATTGTGCAGGCAGGAAAAAACCTCACTCTCATATCTCCCAGTTTCCAAGAATATAATTTTTCATATTTCTAGACACAAATTAACTGTGTACTTATTAGGAAAAACCTCTCCACCATCTACTCTACTAAGGCTACATAAAACTGTTGTGAGATATGAAGATACTCATAACAAAGTCTTCACATAGAACAGCTCTGGTCACACATCCTCGCCCTGACTGCATCCTTCCCTAGAGGAAGATGCCCACAGAACTCAGCAGCCAAATGAGACACTGGAAATTGTGTTTTCTCCCTATCTTGGGTCACAGCGCCTGTTACTGATGAAGTTCACAGCTGCTGGTTTTACTTAAATACATATATGTGTGTGTGTGATTTAAGTACATTTTACTTGTGTTTTCAGCTTAAACAAGCAGATTCTGTGTCTGACCCACAGTCCAGGCTAATGAAGAAATGTGCTACTGTAGCAGCATGACCATGAGCAGGGAAGGCCTGAGATCTCATGCCTGGTCCTCCATCTGTGCCCATTCACTCTCGGACCCACCAGACAGTCATAGCAGATGCAACCACTGGCTGTGGCAATGGCTTCAACCAGCCGAAGGAGAGCTCCAGCCTTTGGGCAGGTATCATACCTCCCATAGGAGAGGACAGAAGAGCCCATTTTGCCTCTCTAGCAAGACCTTTCAGATACTGGTTGCACCCACAGACCCCCACATCCAGCAGACCCTTTCCCTATAGTGAAGGGAGCAGAGGACCCCCATCAAGAAAAAAACTTCTCCTCATCACTGTCTAGTCCCACATCAGACCCAGGGCCACAGGACTGGGGCTTTCACCGCATTTCTGCAGGGACCTGAACCCAGGGGACATCACCCCCCACCGCGCGTGAGGGAAGGAGAGCAGAGCAGCAGAAGAGCTGCAATACATTACTTGGCATATGGCGCATGCAGCATAGAATAGACCTGGCTTTGATGCGGAAATCCCTTTCTCCATCCTGCAGTCCCTGATTTACGAGGTTAACAACTTCGTCTGGAGTGAGGTCTCCCCTGCAGGGAAGAAAAGCTGTCAGACAGAGGCCAGATACCCAACAGGGAGGAGGCAGGCAGGAGTCCCAGGTCCAGCCCACATCCCTACAGGACCTCCCCACAAAATCCAGGCTGCCCAGAGTCCCACCCGCCTTAAACATCTACAGGAGTCCAACGAGACTGCCCAAATCCAAAGAGCACCTTTTACATCCACCCCATGCCCAGATCTAGCAGATGTCAGGCACAAAAAGCATGCAGAGGTGACAGTAAGATTTAGAAAGGCCTCAAGGAATTGGCTGCCAATCCTGCCAGAGCAGAGGGACCCACTCTCTGCCATAGCATCTCACCAGGGCACACAACTGCCTGTAGCCAGGCAGGAATGAGCACAGGGCTCAACACCCATCACAGCGCATTTTGCAAGGAGCCACAGAGTCCAGCGCTGATTTAATCAGAGGCACATACCACAGAGGGGACGACAGTTAAAGAAGAGATCGGATCGCCAGCCCTCTCTAACATTGCCCACCATCTCTGTCAGCAAAAATTCACATTCTGTGGGCCACAATCCCTATATGAATGCTGCTTTGCCTCGTGCAGAGAATGTCTTCAGCCAAAAGTTTAAGTATGGCTGCTCTGCACATGCAGAATTAGGTGCCTGAAGCAAGGGACATTAAAACACAGCAGCACACAGAGGTATTATAAGAGGAAGAATCCTATTGATGGGGAAAAGAGGTGGAAGAGCACTGGTGCTCGCTACGCTGGAGGAGAGGAGGGTTGGTCACACCAGACTTTGGACACACACTGGCTGACTGGTGTGGGACATATCTTCTCCATGCCCATCCACCAGCTCCTGGCATGGTGCGGTCACTCACTCAGTCTGGCCCCAGGGGATGGGATCCACGCGGCAGTTGGCCAGGAGGTGAGGGCTGTACCGGACCTCCACGTAGATGATGCCTTCTTTGGCTTTTGTTTCCACAAGCTCGTAGGCAATCCTCCGCACCGCCTCGCGGTCACCCCTGCAGGGATGGCAACATGACCCGTCACAGGGACTCATCACCCTTGGTGCATGCTGGTGACCTCCAAGGCTGAGCAACGTTAGCCAAGGGATCCTGCCAAGGGTTGGGGCAGGGGGGTAGAAGCAAAAAGTGGGGTACTTACGCAATGGCAGGCATGTAATGATTAAACTTCTCTAGAAATTGGGTAAGTGTCAGTGGCGTTTTATAGCTCACATGCTTCAGAAGGTCATCAACAGTGCTGCCAGGAAGAGGAACCCCTCTTTTCCTGGAAACAAAGCCACACGTTATGACAGGGAAGGCTATCGCATTTTCAATAGGTTCATTTCACACGGCAATCGCTGCAATGCTGGCAGCATCAACTGCTATTTCTTCCCAGAAAAGATATAGCACACATTGTCCTTCCAAAATCTCCTTGCAGATGCAGCTCTAACCCTCA